TTCACAAGATCCATCTAATAATGCCTTCCAATTTCTTTACTAATTATTTCAACAAAAGACACCAAGAGCAACAACAGCAACAACAACAACATTACCTCCAAGAACAGCGAAGAACTTCAATTCCTTCACCTGAAGTTGAAAACGTCACACCAGTGTCCAACCCTGCAATCTCAAACTTGATTCAAGACGAAAGACCAAAGAATTTGTACCATAGATCGTCTGACAATTTAGCTATTGGTTTGTAGATCCAGAAGAAGGAAGTTTTTTAGATAAAGCTTATCATCTGCGTTCAAATGAGTCCAGTCTATTTGCTGATATCTATCTAAATCGACATTCTTATCAATGAGTAATTGCAAAAGAATGTCATTGATTTTTAGTTTTTGATAGAATCGACCGTCAATTATCCTGGTGAATATTTGATATATTTTTGACTTTAAATTGACAGTAATGGCTTTCTTGGTCGATATATGATATAATATTCTCAATATCGTTATTGCTTGTGTTGCATTTTTTCCAGTTTGGTATATGTTATAGCTTATTGCAAATAATCGATTATAGTCTAATGAATCATGAAATTGAAAATTGCTTTGAAATAATTTAAGAAACATTTGTAACATCATAAGCTTCAACTTTTGTTCTCTCACGGATGTAGATGCTTGCTCTAGTATGTCTAAACATATCACTAGATCTTCAGTTTTAGGTTCATATCTAAGTAATTCTAAAAATGATTGGTTGATTACCTTGGAATTACCTTTAAAACTACCAATAGTAAAACAGCACCCCTTCCAAAACTGCTCTTTTTCTTCATGATCCGTTATAGTTGTGTAAAAGTCAAAAAGGCATCTCCAGTACGAATTTTCATCACTTATAGGACCCCTAGAAATCAACTCAAAGGAAAGATATCGGAGTTTGTCCATCAATTCACCCGATAATCGAATTAGCTTGCGCCTAATCTCTTCATCCATCAAGTTATGTTCGGAAACCAATTCAAGCATAGAAAATCTCAACTTGCTTCCTACATCACCTTGTATCGTTGTAGTGTAATCGTCAAACAACTGGTAAAGTTCGTTTATGACAGGATACCGTTGGTAGTTCTCACATAGATTATCTAGCAAATTCTTTCGTATCTCAATATCAACTGCTGGATTCTTCATAGCTGATACAAGTACCAGTACTTGTTCTTTAGTCCAATGATTAAAGTTAAATATGACTCTTGATAACACAGTGTTAGCTCTGACAATAATGAGAAGCTCTTTAGCATTTGGCATCGAATCACAAGATTTCAAAAACTGCCCAATTTCTTCAACAAATGACGTATCATTATGTTTAATTATTTTTATGAAATTGTCCCAATGCAAATCATTCATCTCATTGGAATATACAAGGTAAAGCAAATAACCCTTAAGCAAGTTATGGTCATGCTGGAATTCAAAACTCGAAAACTTTCTTGATAATTCATCATGTGGGATCTGAGGTAATGCAAATAAGTATTGCCAACGATTTCCTTTCACTAATTTATATGAGATTTCCTGTAAATCAATAGTATATCTAGTGCCTACCACTAGCAAGTTCTTTGGCTGCAATAGTAATTTATTCAAATACTTTGCCTCTTCGCCCAGATCTCCAGAAGTTTCACATATTTCATCCAATAAAGGAGGCAACAAGAATCCCAAATCAATAGTATCAAATAGCAAATCGATAACACCATAATTAGAACTTCTTGCTTTTAATTTAACACAATTGATGGCTTCCAAAAAATTCACTATGAATTGTCCCAACTCTTCACTATTGAAATCATTATTCTGGAAGATAGTAGTACCATACCTTCCTATTAACTCCTGTATTATAGCAATGCTACATTTCTTCAAAACCAATTCCTTATCAAAGGTCAATACTTTTATCAAATCATTGAATATTAAAGCTAATTGTTCAGAATTTAAGTTATTGTTGTTCTTGACTAGTGACCATATAATAAAACACGATGAGTCTCGAATACAACTTCCCATATCGACTCGTTGGTTCCTGATTTGTAAAAATACTGATTTATGAACAACATTGACTAAACGGGAAACATACTCACCCTGGATAGCCCTGTTTAATACTAAATAACCAAAAGTTAATAATATGGTGTGATTTTTGGCTATACTTATTTCGTCATCAATTACATCCAAATTGGAGAACACAAAGTCTATCAACTGCTGTTTGTAATTGACAGCCGGTTCCGCCAATGAAGCCACGATTTTACTTAATGCCTTAGCCATGCTGTAACGTAAATTAAAGTCAAGATTGGTGATTTCTAGCAAAATATCATTGATCAAAATATTGACAATCAATTCAACCATATGGAAATCCCTCATCTGGACGTAATTTATGGATAGTTTGCTAAGTATCTTGATCAGAAACAATAAATTCAAGTTAGAAGGACTTGATTGTAGCAAAATATCATTAGTTATGCACTGGTATATTTTCGTCATTTGTTCACTGTTAAGCAGAATCTTCAGTTTTAGGATCTTGTTAATAGTCAAATAGTGACCCACCTTGTGCGTATCATCCAATCCAATCCAATGGGATAATTCGATACCCTGGAAAAATAGTTCAAAGAACTCAGTGCAATCTTTACGGACTAACAATTTTGATAGCAAAATCAGGGACATAACTTGGTTCTTACTTCCATTTGAATATTTCAGTAAATTTTTCATAGCTATGTTGTATATCGTCAGGGGTATTGTCTTATCAATGGAGCTTAACGAAAACGGTAAAAGACTTAGGGTGCACAACCAACATAACCCCACAAACACAGAAAGTTCATCTGGGGTTTCTTTAGTTATTCTGATTAGCTTGTTGATTAGGTATAATTCGCTTGGAAAGTAATTAATAATAATCTTAAACCCTCGAACTTTTCCAAAATTATAAACAATTCCCCCGATAACAGAACGGAGTGATTCTTGAGCTAGGTATAAATTTGCCAATAGATGGATGTAACTCTCTAGTGAAGTATCAAGAAGTTTGGGATTCATTTCAAATTCATTGATGAGACCATTGATTTTGCTGGAATTTGCATTAATAAGGACGTGTCTGTCATATGTCAGAATTGACGGTGAAGCCTGTTCGCTCAATCCTTCTAGTTCTTCAAGATAATAATGAATCTGGTCGTGGAGTCGAGAACTATTCTTTATGGCATCTCTCTCGTTATCAAATTCATTCATGGTTTTGGTTGTTATATCTGGTCTTCTATTTAACAAGTTGTAAGTGTTAGTACCAAGATGTTAATGTTTTCAAACTAAACCACAAATCAAATAGTTCGTGTCCTTGCACAATTACATTTTTTCTCTGAATTTTTTTTTTTTTTTTTGTTCTTTTTTTTTTTCACTGTCATCAACGAATACGACCCTTCCAACAACACAACAACTATCAATCATGTCCGGCGTTCAAAAACAGTTATTTTACCGAATAAAACAAGTCAGATCAACTATAGGGTTACCTCCAAAATATAAAGCAGTATTACAATCATTGGGCTTGACCAGAAGAAATCAAATCACATATGTTAATGTTGCTCCAACTTCAGCCAATCAATTAGCAGCCGTTAAGGAATTAGTTTCTGTTGAGTTGAGCGATATCAAGAAGACTAGACAGGAAATAAATCAAGAAAGAAAGTTCAAACCAGGTTACGAGTTGATCAAAAACGGAATGAAGAAGAGTTACGCTTAAGACATTATGAATTAATGGGTGAAAACCACATCTTGTACATATTTAATTGGGTTGTTAATATATGATAATTTATTCAATCATTGCTCTTATTTGCTATCTATATCGGCTAATTTGACAGAATGTTGTGGAAAAATGTTAACTTTAAGCTTCTGAAATTCGATTTTATCGTTACACGCAGAAGAGATCTATACTTAGAGTGCGTATCTGCTTGATATAATCGGGTAGGTGGTATAAAAGGCATTAACTAAACTGAAGATGTAATGCAAACACGTGTGTTGCGTCATATTATTCAACGTTCAAAAGTTTAAGCACCCTTCTCTTATTTGTAGTAGCATTCTTCAAATCAAATAAATTGAAGCCACGTAAAGTCAGATAGAATTTGAACATAGTCGAGTGTATATATACCTACACTCTATTGTCACTGTTTACGGTACATCATCGTTCACTGATACAGCACATCACTGTAATAAAGGTTAGAGGATCGGCACAAATGGCACACAAAGTAAACTCGGTAGAAATGAAATGAAAATAATAATAAAAACATATCCACAAATAAGCTTCACATGTACTATACTTATCTGAAGAGTTATTTCATATTGTTAACTATTTATTCAATATGGTCTGGTGAGATGACCAACAGATAGAGCCTACAGCTTTCGTTATTCTTTTTCTGCTGCCGCCATCTTTTTTTTTGCAATCGCGAACGATGTGATTGGTTCAAAACACGCAGAATTGTTCTTGTGGGCACACTCAAAGTCCATTTCAGAAGGGTTGAAAAAAAAAAAAAAAAAAAAAATAAAAAAATAGAAGGACTTTGAAAACCTACAAAATCGAATGATATTCTTTTAGATACTAAAATCAAATTCATTAATTCCCAGAGAAAGTAAAAGAACTACCATAATCTTTTATATTACTATCTATTCAATTCATCTCACAGAATCCATTCATAACTTTTCATATTTTAATACAATACATTATTCATTCAAAATAAAATAAAATAAAATAAATATTCTCTCAAAAGAAAATGTTTCAATATATAAAGGCCAGTCAAAGAAATAGGTTAACCAACTCCTTATTCAGTTCAACGTTTGCCATTTGTGTTTTATTAGTTGGTGCAAATTCAATAATACCATGTCCGGAGGATAGTAATTACAGTAATGATTCCAATGAAAAATTAAAATACCAACAAAGACAACTTATACAGAATCAACAGCTGCTTAAGAGCACTGAAGAAGGAAAGATATGATGATTATTGACGACATAAACTACATTAATATTGAGGTTTTTGCAAAACTTCAAACACAACAACGATAATGGTAATAACAACATTAATCAAACCATAATTGAGATTTCAACCATGTATTACATATTCAAACAAAAGCCATAAATACCAACGTATATATACATATATATGTATCCTTAGTAATTGAATAATTAAAACTCATCATTACAATAATACCTGTTTTCTATGTAGTCTGTTTTTATAATGTGATCAACAGTTTCAACACGTGATGATTATCACGCGCGAGAAGTCGTTTCGAGTCTCAAATTTTTATTTCTTACAAAGACGCATATCGCTTTGATCAGCAGTAAGAAAATGAGAAGATCTATCGCCTATTCTAGACAAAAGGTAAACAATGCCAATTTATATTAAAGAATGCAAAAATCCCCCTTTTTTTAATTCTTTTTTTTTTTTATTTTACTTTTTACTTTTTACTTCCTTCCTTAATTTCTTATTATTCTTTTTAGTTTACATACGGTTAGCAATGAGTTATCAATATCCTACCAAGTTTGCTCCTGTATCTACCAACTTGAACTTGTTTACAAGTAGCTTTGATCATAAAAACAAAAATGAACAAATTAGCCATACAAATCTTCCAATCCATAAACAATTTAATTCAATAGAATTCAATAGTGATCCTTTAGCTGAAATATTGAATCTTCTGAGACAGAAAATTAAAAACTATACTTTGAAGTACCCTGAAGAACCACAAATTGAATTACCAACCGACGATGATAAAGAAAATTCCCAATTTATGATACCCAGACTTACGCAATCGACACCTGTCAAACAACAACCTCCACAAATGAAGCCAGTAAAACCAAAGACGGCACACAAAGTAGACAATTTAGCTTGTCATGCTGACAATATCTTACGTATGGCAATTGACTCCACAATTATAAGTTCAAACTCATTCACCATAAATTCATTTGATGAAGAAGACGAGGATGATGAGGATAATCATCTTGATATCCATGAACACTCATTAATTGAGTTATTAAAATCAAAGAGCTCTTTCAGGGATTTGAGAAGAAAGCGTTCTACGCTCAGGTTTGATATAAATGCAGATGACATTAATTCTGTTTTATAGGAAAAATACCAATAAATGATTTACCTATACAAACACTCGTTCTAAAACTTCTAACTCATTCAAATCATAGCGCTCCAAATACTGTCGTTTAATTGCTGGATTTACCGTGGACACCAATTCCTCTCCTGGCTCTTGCAAGTTGGTGATTAACTCTTTGATCTTTGAGTTATTATTTGTTACTATGTCTAACACCCTTTGCATATCGTGATTCAATTCACCATGATCCTTCAAGCATTGTTCCACATAAAATATCACGTCTCCATAATAGTCATCTCCATTTAATGACGCTTTTATCAAGCAAGAATAAAAGCGAGGCGTCACTTCTATGCCATGATTCTTCATATAATCAAAATAGAATCTTGCACACATTTTCGATGTGGAAAGCGAGACGGATTGGAGGATTAATTTCCAAGATTCCTGATCTAAATAGTTAACAAATTCAACTCCATGTAGAAAATGCAAATTTTTCAAAACCGATACTAACCCTGTGTGATTCAAGAATACTACCATATGATTTAAAAGACAATTTATAAATATTGTTTGTGTTTTTGTATTAAAATTACCGTTGTTCATATAATTGACATGGACATTAATAAACTCATTCAAATTTGACAAGTTAGCCAATACAACGCCATACTTGGAATTGTGAATGTTTGTGTTGCCATAAAACATGGGAATTGTTTCTTCGTTTTCCTCTTCAAACACAATATTCGTATTAGAATCCAACTCTCTTGTATCTGCTTTCCAGTTTTTAAATTTGAAGTTCATACATTCAAATAAATCAACACTGGATAGATTTGTCTGGTTCACGAAAACGTTAATCAAATCTAGTATTCTCTTGATGCTTTCGTCTCCATAACTGGCATCAACTGTCGTCTCATCAGGGATGTTGTAACAATAGCTCTCGATAATGTTAATGCATAATTCTTTGCTCAATGCTTTGGTTTCATTCGACAATGCCTTGTAAACAAAATGTCCTTTGATTAAATCCTCTGTACTTTTAATATCACCACTCATTGAAATTGTATGTAGTATCTGTAGTATCAAAGTGTCAGTAAAAGTTCCAAATACGGAATTGCTGTCTATAGTGTTTTGACTTAAAACTGCGTCGTCTATCGTAAACTTTCCCGACGAAAAGTCCTTCATTATATAATTCTTGTACACAAAATTGACTATTTCGTAGTTATTGTAGTGAAGTCCAGACAGTAGGATGGAGATCCAGAGATGATCATCCACACGGAGATTGTATGCCTTAAATTGGGACATTATGAAATGTAACCTTTCAAAATCTCGAGTTTCCAACATGTGCAAAATAAAAATGTCCGGTAAATTCTTCATAAATGACACAGCTTTTCCTTGATTAACTGTCAAATGCCTCATCAACTGATTGATACTTAATTGCTTCTGTCCGGAATTGTATAAAATTAACAAATATGTTAGAACATATGCATCATATAATTCTGGTGTCCCATGGTGTACCCAAATTAGGTTCAAATAAATGACATTCAATGGCAGATGATTCATTTGAAAGACACAAAGGTACAATTTCATCAACTTTTCGAGATATAGGCTATTAAAATCATGCTCTTGGACAGACATCGATTTAAAGATGTGGTTCAACGTTTCATAATCAGCTTCATTATTAACATTCTGCCTCCTCCATTGTACAAGTAAAGACAAAGACGAATTTGGAAATCGTAACACGTCCGGCTCAATTTGACTTATAAATTCACTCAATTGTAAGTAAGTTGTGAAGCCTTGAATCGTTGATATCACATGGTTATATAGTTGTGCTTCGCTCTTAAAACGAGCTTGTATTGGCTTTGCGTGTGTGATATCTGCAGAATGAGTTTTTATAGGTTCTGGAAGTATTTCACCCGAATTCAATTTCTTTGCATACAATTTTCGAAGTTTCTTGGTGAACTTGTTATTGACCAATGATTCAGGTGGACTAGGAACACTTATTCGCGTGCTCATCGAGGCATTCTGTAGTTGTGAATTTGGCGGTCGTACACCACCAATACTAGACCAAACAAGAGTCAGTCTCGATCGCATGGTTCGTATTAACATGAGGAGTAATGTGATCCGTTGTTTCTGAAAACTATGAAATGGGTAGTACTGTAGCTAGATTGTAATCAGAAGAGTGAATCTAAAGAGGAGTGAGAAAACTCAACTTGAAAGAAAAAAAACTCTAAGCAACAGATCTGCTTGTTAAGAGAAAAAAAAAAAAATTATTCAGAACTGAGATTGTGGAGAGCTATTTCTACACTACTTGCTATTCTGAAAAATCATCCAATAAATCCGTCAATAACCCGATGAGTGGAACTGTTGTATTTTCTAGATTCTTTGCAACTGCAGGTGGTTCATCCAAGAATTCATCATTCAAAGTATTTGACAAATCAAGTAAACTTTTGCAGCGTTCAAAGTATGCAAAATTGAAACCGGAGTTGTCGAGAAAGAAGGACTATCTTCGTGATGAGATTGCCACCAAGACTATAGAAAGATTGGCATTTATAACTAGACCAATGGATAATTTGTTGGATTTTGGTAGTAATGCCGGAAACTTCTTGAATCAGTTGTCTACAATTACAAAGATTCCTTCAAGTGCCGATGAGGTGGAGACCAAGGTCATTGAGCAATTGAACAATGATAAAGAAGTCGTGAGAAATAAAATCAAAACATTAACAATGCTTGACTCATCAAAGGATTTGGTGTTTCGTGACAAAGACCTTGCGCAAGATGTCAAATTCCCAGGAGAAGTGGTCAGGGTAGTTTCCGATGAAGAGGATTTCAGTAATGAAGTATTCCAACATGAGAACCAATACGATGCGGTGATTTCAAACTTGAGTTTACATTGGATAAATAACTTACCAGAGACATTATCACTGATTCATAAGATCTTGAAAAAAGACGGTTTTTTCATGGCAACTTTGTTTGGTGGTGACACGTTGTACGAGTTAAGGACATCGTTACAATTAGCAGAATTAGAAAGAAAAGGAGGAATATCACCTAGAGTGAGTCCGTTGGTTCATTTAAATGATGTTGGCTCCTTGCTAAATAAGGCTGGTTTTTCTATGTTAACAATAGATTCTGAAGATATAGTCGTTGGTGGATTTCCAGATATCATTAGTCTATGTGAGGATTTGCAAATAATGGGAGAGAATAATTCTATATTGAGTAGGAGCTATTTGGATAGAGATGTGTTAGTTGCTGCTGATCAAATCTACAGAAGTCTCCATGGTGAACCAGAAGGCTTGCCGGCAACTTTCTCAGTAGTGTTTTTCATTGGCTGGAAGAACTGATCTTACTACTGATAAGATGAAGTTGATGACAGCACAGGATTGTATATAGTTTGAGTCTCATATTTTTCAATATATATCTTATCTAACACTGGTTTTATTACTCAAATAGCATTCATTTGAAAGTAGGTTAGTAGTTATCGACCAATCAGAACAACACGGAGAATAAGAGTATGAAGTACGACATAGGTTTAGTATCAAAGAACTAACTCCGTTTCACTATAACGAATAACTGGAAAAGCAATTCACTTAGAAAACATTTCATCAAGAAAAACATAATACTCCAAATATCTCTGATTATGAATATATTGTCATCTAATCTTTGTTGCGGATCAGATTTCAATGATTTAATACTGTCTTTGATATTGTGTGGCAATTCTACACGACGCGTTGGGTCCAAAAAAATTTTACAACGCGTGTGAGAATCCCTAAACCATCTTGACTTCCAAAAAAAATAAAATGGAAAAAGAAAATTCAACCAAGGTTGTTTCCATGACACGTTTTGTATGTTTCGAGCATTGGCCATCCATCGTACTTCAATATCAAACATTCTAATTAAACCAAATCAACAGTCCTTGATGTCAAATAGAAAACAACAATCTTTGGCACGCTTCTTTCCAGGCATGTCCCAACTGGCAGTCTCTAGCCAGAACCACAAGAAACAACAATCTATCAACAGGTACTTTGGATCATCATCAAACAATTCAAGTCCAACTAAATCACAGACGCAAAAGCGTGAAGCAACCCCACCTGAATCTTCATCTCCTTCAAAAAAGCCTAAAATTGGGAGCTCCTCACCTTCTGCGGACTTGGAAAATGACACAGTAGCTCCAGTTTCCCCAACTACTGATACCACAACAAAACTTAAACATAGCGAAGATCTGTCCCGTTTAGAAAATGAAAAGTTGATTGAGCTCTCAGAGAAACAGAAATTGGAACACCGAAATGAAAATTTGGGTCCTAAAATACCTTATGCGAAATTGACATCTGTTTTTGAAGTTGTTGACAAAGAATCCAGTAGGTTAAAAATTACTGCAATTGTGTCGCAGTTTTTCTTGGAAATATTGCAGCAACTGACTGTGGACAAGTTGGTCAAAATTGTTTATTTGTCGATAAATAAATTGGGTCCAGACTATGCTCAGGGTTTAGAGTTGGGTTTGGGTGAGACAATTTTAATCAAAGCCATTAGCGAGTGTTACGGACGTTCACCAGCAAAAATCAAGGCCGAAATGGTCAAAAGTGGTGATTTGGGAGATATTGCTCAGAAATCTAGATCAATGCAGCCACCCATGTTTAAGCCTGCTCCGCTAGATATAGACACTGTTTTTGAGAATTTGCAGCAGATTGCAAAATCCAATGGTAAGGATTCTCAGTCAAAAAAGATTGGTCTTATCAAAAAAATGTTGAGTGCCTGTGATCCGAAAGCCAACGAAGCAAAATTCTTGATTCGTTCTTTGGCAGGTAAATTGAGAATTGGTATTGCAGAGAAGACCTTGGTTGTTGGATTGGCTCAAGCGTTTGTGAACTTTGAAAATAAAACCAATAAAAGAATAAATCCCGACAAATTAGCTGAAGCTGAAGAAATTGTCAAAGAAGCCATCTCTAGGGTTCCAAATTATGAAGTTGTGCTAAAGAAAGCTTACGAACATGGGATCTTCAACTTGTTGGACCATGTTCATGTTACCCCTGGTATTCCGCTAAAGGCTATGTTAGCAAAACCTACTAAGTCAATTGGTGAGATTTTTGATCGTTTCCAAGATGCTGAATTTACTTGCGAATACAAATATGATGGTTTCAGAGCTCAAGTGCATGTTTTGAGTGATGGTACTGTCAAGGTTTATTCACGTAATTTGGAGGATATGACAGAAACGTACCCAGATTTGGTATCCATTGTGAATGAATTCACTACTGATAAAAGTTCAGTTTCATTTATTTTGGATTGTGAAGCTGTTGCCTGGGACAGAATTCAGCACAAGATTTTGCCTTTCCAAAGATTAACTACCAGAAAGAGAAAGGATGTGAACGAGGAAGATATCACGGTCAATATTTGCTTATATGCCTTTGATTTGTTATATTTTCAAGATGAATCTCTCTTAACCAGATCATTGGCAGACAGAAGAAAACTATTGCATGAAAAGTTCAAACCAATTGATGAAAAATTTCAGTTTGCTACTGCTAAAGATTCGTCGTCAAACTTGGAAGTCTTGCAGACATTCTTAGATCAGTCGATCAAGGACTCGTGTGAAGGGTTGATGGTTAAAATGTTGAACGGACCTGATTCATTTTACGAGCCATCAAAAAGATCCCGTAACTGGTTGAAATTAAAGAAGGATTACCTTGCGGGAGTAGGAGATTCTTTGGATTTGGTTGTCATTGGTGCCTACAGTGGGAAGGGTAAGAGAACTGGTACCTATGGTGGTTTTCTATTGGCCTCATACAATCAAGACACGGGTGACTTGGAAACGTGCTGTAAAATTGGTACTGGTTTCAGTGATGAAGACTTGGCAAGCTTGTATAAAAAATTGCATCCAACAGAAATCAAGACACCTAAGAAGTATTTTGTGTATGAAACCAACAACTCGAATGCGGTTCCCGATGTGTGGTTTGAACCTAGTTTGCTTTTTGAAGTCTTGACTGCTGACTTGTCTTTGAGTCCTATTTACAAGACTGGACATCAAGAGTTTGGTAAAGGTATTTCGTTGAGGTTTCCAAGATTTATTAGACTTAGAGAAGACAAGAACATTGAGGACGCTACTAGCTCGACGCAAGTCTGTGAGTTCTATGAAAACCAAGCTCTGGTTAATTAGATACGTGTATGATTGACTTTGTCTAATATATAGAGACCTATTTACAATATTATAAATAATTTCAAGATTGGCCATCTTTTCTACTTTCTCTAAGTTTCAGTTTAATTTTATCTTTCAAGTCAGCTCTTCTGGATTTGACTCCACCTGAGCCAAAGTTTAATTCCATATGATCTGACGATGCCGTTTCAACCAATGGGGGACGTCTTGATTTCATCTGTGAGGAACCATTAGCACTATTGGAAACATGAGGTATGTTGGCCATTGAATTGACTCTTGAAGCAGCTAGAGATTGTGGGTCTAATTCCAAATCTGCGTTCTTGGCGTTCTTGTGCAAAACATAGTCGGAAAACATTGGAAGATTGGTCAATGAATTGTCTGAGTTCAATAAGGAAACACCATCACTCATGGAAGAAGAATTCTTCAACTCAGAGTCGTCATCTTGATCTGCAAACTTTTTCTTAGCTTTACGTCTTGCCAAGCGTCGTTGACGTAATTCCTCAGTCTTCAATTCTTCTTCTTCGTCACTATCAATATAATTGACTTCTCCGTTAATATTCAATGATTTCTGCAATTCGAGCAAATTGAAATCATTTGGATACAACTGAGGTCCGTAGCTATTGACGAGTTCGGTAATCTCTTCACTTAATTCAGCTCTCATTTTTTTCAATTCCTTGATTGAAGATCCAGAAGTTATAGACAAATACAATGGACGAATGGACTTCAATAAATCCATACCTTGTTCTCCAGTTACCAACGCAGAATAAGTCACCAATACCCCACAGATGTACAAGAAAATCCAGACCCAGAATAATCTCCAATGCAGAAAATAGTTATGAGTTGAACAGTAATAGGTACCAATACTGGCATAAAAGGAGTAGACCACTGGTGCAATACCCATGGCAACCAAAATTTTCCATGTGGCAATAACATCATTTGCTTGAATTTTGACAACGGAATTAGCTAATGCTTCTTTTGCCTTCTTTCTGGAGATCATCTTACTAGATATGAAAACTGGTGAAAACAAAATGGCCCCTGGTAACGCCAAAATGAACAAACATATGACCTCGAAAAGTCTGATGAAGAAGCTTGGTATCAAGGCAATTTTATGGGTCTTGTCGTTACAACTTTCGACGTGATGGTCCGGTAAATGCAAAGTTTTAAGAAATTCGTTATATGCCATAACTTTGTCCTTAAGTTCTTGCACTTTTGGAACGTTCTTGAAGTGTTCGTAACCGATGACTAATCTTCTATTCATTTCAACAATCAATGGCAATGGCAATTGCTGAGCAAAATTTCCAGCATATAATCGTCTTGCTGCTTGAATCAACATCAATGTCTCAAAATCTTGACAAGTAACAGTAACAGCTTTTAAACCAGTGGTTATGATGTCCAACAAGTCCTTTACAGCCTCACGGTTGGTTTCAGGATTGGAGTATTTTTTCACCAACTCTTTAGGAATTTCGATTGGATCACCAAATTCAACAACAGCTCTACTTCTAAATTTATGGGCACTAAAATAATTCATACCACATGGAACAATCTTAATATTACAGTCTGGGTTTTTGTCCATTGCCCCAAGAGCCATGACAGCGACACCTGCTTTCAAAGGTAACAAATCTGGACGATCGTGAGATCCTCCCTCAGGGAAAATACCAATACAGCCCTCATCTGCCAAATGATCAAAGACCATTTGATAGACTTGCTTTTGGTCAACTTTGTCAGCACGCTTGAAGGATGTGCCTTGGGATAATAATTCTTTGATTTTTTCCAGATTTTTAAACTCCTTACGTATAAGTAACTCTGTGTCCGAGATGATTTCTGCCACTTCAGAAGCACCCAATGACTGTGGTAACGCAATTAAACCCTTCACCATGCACTCTGTAGTAAACTTGGTGTTCTTCCCAATGATCTTTAATGGATTGCTCTCGAAATCAATAAATATTTTACCACTGCCCTTGGTTAAACAGTCTTGTGGTCTAATAACTGGAATTGACAATTGGCATTTTGCCATTGTCCCAACTGCTTTCAATTGATACGATTTTGCTGCAATTAAGAATGATATTCTTCGGTTTGCTTCTCTTTTAACTTGGTTCATCAACACAATTGGGTCGACAAATTGGTTATGATGAGGAGCTGCAACAAAAATAACAGGACCTTCTCTGGGAATCTTAAAGGCTCCCCTGGGTCTAATTTCTCTAAAAAAACAGTCAAAGATTACTGATAAAAGCCATAATAAACAATCATAAATAACCAATCTGTATCGCTTTGGTTTCTCGTAATGGAGACTGAAAGAACTTGGTGACAGTGACATTGTTTGTTACTACACCCAACTCAATAGCCAAATAGGGATTTAGGGATCTAGAATTAAAGTAAACTAGGTAAATAATTCCCGAAAGAAAACTGAATTGTAGGAGGGGCAAGCAGGAAGTCCACAATTTATGTGTTTAATTTAAATGTGTGTGTGTGTTAATTAACTCTAAGAAATAATTGGATGGACGGAAATGATCTCACTCCAGAACAACAAAAGGGAAAAAAAAAATAGCCAGATGAGCGAACAATTTTGTGCGTACGTTTCTAAGTGTATTAAATTAAATTTGAACTTTAGAATGAGAATGTTTTCCAAGTTTTATATACATTTTGTATGGATCATTCTCGCGGCTCTTCTAAAAGTATTGTTCAAACTTTTGTTAGTTGGTATTTTTTTTCTTTAGCTGGGATAACGCGATACAAACTTGGTTCACCAATCCGTATTGTCGTTTTTGTGGCATTTTCGGAGTGTGGGAACAAAAAAAAAAGCCCAACAAACGCCTTAGTAAAAATAGTACACTTCCGCGGCTCCGATAAAATCCTACAAAGATCTCAACAGTTCTTGAGAATTCCATTATTCTCACGTGCTATAACAGAAAGCCTCGATATATGTTTACTCTGGTCTACCATGGACCAAAAATTGTTGATCTACAGATGGATTTGGTGTCAGAACATTATTAGACGTAATGAGATATGGTTAGAAGCGAGAATGCTGTAACAATTGTGATTATTGTGCAACTTTGGTAACTGGTATATCTCAGTCTTATTAAGATGCAAAGTAAAACAACAAGGTACATTTTGCAATGATTTCCCCTATTTTGGATACAAACAAACATTACTGACAAAGGTGGTTTGGACGATGATTTACTTAATGTTTCAGATGGAGTGCTGAATTGTGTTTTGAATTGTTATTCTGTAGGAAATATCACCTTTCAAAGGGATAATGGGAAGAATACCAAAACTAATAGTTGATTTTAAAACAAAAGCTACAGTCTTGAAAAGCAATGGGGCATTCTTGAACCTGTGGAGAACATACGGGTGTGATGTGTCTCCCATAAAATTGTTAATTTTCAAGGAAGTGACATTCCAGAAAACGTAAAGATCTGTATAATTAAAAGTATCTATAAATTGTTCAAACTGTACCTTCTGTGCATCTACATTTAGATGATAGGTGGAGTCTATACTTCAAATATGGCACATTCACTAATTATCTCTATTGATATGGTATCTGCATTCAAGCTGACATTCCCTTATCCCCGAATGAGATACAATCCAATTGTCTGGGTCATAAGGTGTCGAGAGAGAACTGCAACGACTGATAACCTTGAGTACCATTTCGTTAAATAACCACTTGTCTTGAGTAATTATTACAAAAACAACGTATACCTATTTAATGCACATGAAGCTATTTGCGTTCACACAATAGCTCCATCGTTTTCTAATTCATTAAGATGGCGGAATGGGCCAAATCTTAATTTTCAGTTGAAAAGAGCAACTTTCAGATAATGATATCAATGTATCTCCAACGTATATTGACCCTGGGAATGCTGTTTGCGCTCCTTTCAAGCAGGGATCTTTTCAACTTCAGAGGGTTCAAATTGTTCCGCGTTCTATCGTAATTACAGAACGGATCTCAGTTTCGGTTTGCCCATGGAGTCACGTGGTGATTGGTTTTGTGTCATTTTTGACTAAGCTTTTCTTTTGGTATGCCCCATACATTATTCTTTGGTATGCCAACGTCTTGTTTGGTATGATTCTTGGGGAGCTTTATGTTATGCTCGGCTGATGTTATATTGTTATGCTCGGCCGAAATTAGTTTGTTATGCTCGGCTCAATGTTTATTTGATATGCCCGGCTCCATGTTTATTTGATATGCTCGGGTAAAACTAATTTGATATGCTCGGGTGAATCTATTTTTGGTATGCTTGGTGGTCCCTATTTGATATGCTTGGTGGTCCCTATTTGTTATGCTCGGCCGAAACTAATTTGATATGCCTCTTGGAACGTTGTTTGTTATGCTCGGCTGAATGTTATTTGTTATGCCTCTTCCAACGTTTTATGGTATGCCCGGTGAACCCTGTATGTTATGTTGGGCTGGATCATATATGATATGCCCGGTGATTGTATCTAGAGTTTTGTGATTCACCGACCCTGAATGCGTCATCTTGTTGCAAGCTTTCCTAAAGCTCAATCATCAAGGGACCTGAGGCATGACCGGAACTATGTGTTGAAGGTCGGAAGTGCTTAGCATGTGTGGAAGCCAATGTTTGACAGAGGTGTCCACTTGATATCCTGGTAGTTGCCAAATCATTATAGGAGTATGGCATTTCAATCTGACTGATCAGGCAGTCATATTTGTAGGATAAGATCATGAATTCAAGGTGACCATTTCCCGTTAATTATCAATGTATTACCAAGTTATCTGCAGCTTTAATTGATGGATAGTAGGGTAATAGATTGACTATAGCCAACATGTAGACTAATAGATAGAATACCAGGACTAAAGCGTGAAATAAAGACAAATATTCCACACATTAAACATGCCATTGGTGTACTTTATTAGCTGTATTTCAAGATCCACAACCTATAATACTAATGGGGTTGTCTGAACCTGTGATAGCAACAGTTGCAGCAGCTACACATGCTGTAGCAACGGCTCTGTGATTAGTAGTAGGCATAATAATTACCAAATCTATTTCAGTATAAGTTTACATACAATACCATATGATAAAGCAGACGTATATACAGCTATCCATTGTGTGATCCTAGTATATCAGCTGCCCTTTTGATAACACACGTTCTGCTATTCTACCAACACACATGCAACGTACAATGCCAGTGTTTCTTCATACATTATATCAAGCTTTACTTCATTATATTGGTGGCATTGGCACAACCAACGTTCTTCAGAGCATCATACACCAAAAGAGATCACTATCAGTGTCATCTCCTGATCTTTGCAAGTAATTTGGGTATTGTCATTGTTGGTGTCTATTCGACTATGAAATGTCGTTTGCACCCTTTGTCGCAAGTTCAATATTGCATGTCGCATCTACCGTGTCGCATAAATCATGTCGGATGTACCATGTCGCGTATCTCGTGTCTCATACACCATGTCGCATCAACCATGTCGCATTAACCATGTCGCTGGTACCTACGACATGTGTATCCATGCGACACATATGACAGGCGACATTTTAAGGTTTATCCGATATAAGACATTTTTGACAGAAAAAAGTTTGACACTCAGGTAATGTCAGAAACACACATTTTAGCTGCCACGCGACATTGCGGAAAAGTAAAAGTAAAAGTAAAAGCGGAGATATCAGAAAGTCGCACGACTGTCGCCCTTTTTCCGTGTCGCAAAATTCTACAACTAATTGTACGTGTGGAAACTATTGCCAAACACAGCAAAGATATTTGTATAGGCATATGGAGACTGAATAAGACTTAGAATGCAGTTATTCAAATATGAGAGGTATTACGTAGGATACCGGAACACTGCTGACCCGGAAGTGGGAAAGTATCGGGTCATATTGTTGGAAAGGGTCTTACATATAGATCACAAAGCCTGGCTTCCTTTTCAAGGTGACGCATATCATTAACGAAGAATAACATAAAAGCGCTCGACTAATGGAATAACAAAAAATGAGTGGAGGCAGCTGCATAACAAAAAGATCTTTGTGTTCTATCATATCAAACTCCTGGCATAGCAAAGTTATTTTTGTTATGCTGCTTATTTCGATATGCTAGCTATTTCGATATGCTAGTTATTTCGATATGCTGATTATTTGATACGCTGACTAGTTTGATATGTTGATTATTTCGATATGTTGACTAGTTTGATATGCTGATTATTTTGATATGTTGTTTATTTGTTATGATAATTTATTGTTATGCTCTATATTTGTTATGTCATTTGTTTGTTATGCTCTATATTTGTTATGCTGTGTGTTTGTTATGCTCGATATTTGGTATGCTGATTTATTTGATATGGCATTTATTTGATATGGCATTTATTTGATATGGCATTTATTTGTTATGATATATATTTGTTATTCTCTATATATGTTATGCTCGATATTTGTTATGCTTGTTGTTCATTTTTTTTGTTATGCTGCGAAACACTTTGATATGCACTAGTAAATTTATTTGTTATCCAGCTAGTTGATGTGTTTTCTGGTATGCTAGTTCTATTTATGGTATGATCGTATCTCACACTGTTTCTATACTCTATTCCTCACATCATTTCGTGTTATATAAACGTAATTTACAAGTACACTAACTTAAAATTCAAACTGATGGGAAATTTTGATGGTGTTTTGCTGCAAATTTATACAGAAAATGCACAACAAATAGAAAACACATATATCTAGTAATCACAATGTAACATATATCAAAATGAACACGTACACATCCCAAAATACACGTTTTCACCTTGATTTCACGCTGTTTCCAGGCATCTGTGATCCTGTACTGTTAGCAGTAGACAACTCTGTGGCGCTACCAAAAGTCAAATTTGCCACATCGCACGACCACCGCGGAATTTCCTCTAAATGAACCAATTACAGATTAGCACCTGGTAACAGGTGTTGGTGGACAAAAGGAGACACAATGGACGTGTGTGTCTCTATTATGGTGTTGTAAAATGTTATGTGTTGTCAAGTTGGAGTACTCACATGTGTGTTAGTGTCAATTGCAACACACAAGAACCTCTTAGTGGAGACCAACAATAGCAAATGCCAGCTCAGCAATTAGAAGTAGCTATTTATACTGCATCGTTTTCCTTCACCAATCTCTTGCCTGAAATCAAATTTCTGGGTACTTTCTTGTGGTGGTTCCCTACACTTTTTCGGGTAATTTGCCCCTGTATTTTCGGGCTGTTGCAAAAGTTTTTTCTAAGGGTGTAGGATACAAACACAGACACAGACGCAGGTATCAAACACAAAAAGGGGGGGGGGGTGAACTGACCATACATAAGGGTGTTTTCTGACCACGTTAATAATGGAGTTCAGGTGGATTGGACAGTTTTCAGTGACGTCTGGATGGTTTTAATGTTGATTTTTCTTACATTTTCGGGTCGATTTGGGTAGTTTGGAACGGTGATTCTGGTGACTTGTTTTTGTAATCTCAGTGGTGGTTGTAAAAAATTTAACAGCAAATCTAGCTGGATATGGTAATTGTAGATAAAGTAGATCTATGCATTTTTGTCTATGCTTGTGAACAATTAGTTTTTCTAAGGATAACGGATACAATCTGTAAATTGCTTTCTATTAATTTGCAGCAACAGAAGTATAGGTTGCATTCCTCTTCGTGTCGAATAATTGCTCTTGTAGGATATATTGTAGTTAATTCTCTGGTGAGAAACATCATTATATCGCCAAAAAGTGGTAACTTCACTACGATATAAAAAGTGGCAACTCACTATGTTTCAAAAAACGGGAAACTTCATTATGCTTCCAGAAATGGAAAACTTATTCATGTTGAAAAGTTTGGAAACTTCTACTACATTTTCAATCAGCTTTGCTGTAAACTCAGAGACGCTCTCGGGCGTAGGTGACAAAAATTCGCGTTGGCCAGTGCGACCTTTTCTCGCCGTCACAAGCATCTTGATACTACATTTCAATGCGACAATTTGTGTGCGATAGGGTGGGTGGATAGTCGAATTCAGTCCACCCATTATTGCTAGTCAATACACCAATTGGGATTATATTCTAG